TTCTCACCTGTAAGTGGGAACTGAGCTGTGGGTGCACAAAGGTATGCAGAGAGGCTTAATGGACATTGGAGGTTTAGAAGTGGGGAGGTTGGGAGCAGGGTGAAAGATTAAAAACTACCTGTTGGGTATGATGTACACTACTCAGGTGATGGGTGTACTAAAAGCCCAGACTTCACTAAACAGTTAATCATGCATCCAAAACTACTTATATCCCTAACACTTGAAATTTTAAAAACTAAAAACAAATCCAGAGTCTGGTTGTGTAAATACACATCTCATATGTAATGAAAAAAATATATATTAAAAATATAAAAAATCAATCCTTCTTGGAAAGCTACAGTAACTATTGAGGATCATGTGATATTAGCAGAAAATTCGAAATTAAACTATTGGAATTGGATAGAGAGTACAAATTCGTATTCACACCCAATTTTGTAAAGATAGCACCACAGAACAGACAAGAAGAGACAATCTTCACTGAATGAACCAAATTGATAGGGCACATTAAAATGTAAAACTTTGCTTTATTAAATGACAACATCAATAAAGTAAAAATACAAGCTACAATGTGGGAAAATATACCTGCAGTACATACATTTAACAAAGCATGTGTATCCATAACATATAAATTATTAATGTCTACATTAATAATTAGAAAAACAATTCTTATAAGAAAATACATTTATAATGAGAAAATAAATACTTTGTAAATAATAAAAAGACTGTCAACTCACTAAAAACATGAGGAAAAGACTAAGTAGGCAAATCACAAAATAGTACATCCGAATAGCCAATAAATATTTTTAAAACAGCCTTCATCATAATTAGAAATGATGGTGCTGGGCATGGTGGCACACACCTGTACTCTCAGCACTTTGGGAGGCCAAGGCGAGTGAATCACTCAAGGTCAGGAGTTCCAGACCAGCCTGGCCAAAGTTGTGAAACCCCGTCTCTACTAAAAATACAAAAATTATCCAGAAGTGGTGGCACACACCTGTAGTCATAGCTACTCAGGTGACTGAGGCAGGAGAATCACTTGAACCCGGGAGGCCAGGGTTGCAGTGAGCCAAGATTGTAGCACTGTACTCTAGCTTGAGTGGCAGAACGAGACTTTGTCTCAAAAAAAAGATGAAAAAGTAAATTAAGCCATAATAATAGGCCATCACAAACTCACACAATGGCTACAATTTAAAAGAGTGACAACCGGTAAGGATGTTGGACCAGTAGAACTATAATATACTTCTGGAGAAAATGCACACTTGAACAACCATTTTTGGAATCTACCCCAAATTATCTGCTAACCTGAATAAATGCCTACTCAATACAATAGCATTTCTAAGCCTAGGTATCTACCCAACAGAAATACATTCATGTCTAGGCCTAAAGAAGGATAAATGATATGCACAGCAATATTTTTTATGAGAGCCCAAAGCTGGAAGCTACTCAAATGTCCATTAACAGTAGCAGGGATTAAAAGAAAAAGTGTTTTACTCACCAAAGGTGTCATATAGTACAGATAAAATGTGTTGCAGCTACAAGCAATGCCATGGATGAATTTTGCAAACATTGTAGTGAGTGAAAGAAACTAGACCTTAGAGAGTGCATGTTGTAACACTCCATTCACATACAGTTGAAAATCAGGCAAAAGTACTCTACTCTGTTAGAAGGCAGGTCATGGTTTTCTTTTATGGAAAAAGGAAGGCAGCGATTGAGAAGGGCATGGAGAGCTTCTCTGATATTGGGGAATTTTGTTTCTTAAACTTGGTAGGGAATATGTGTGCGTGTTCATCTCTTAGAGACTCATTGGCCTATATTCTTACAATTTTAGTATTTTGAGTGTGTTTTATTTGAACAATTATTTTTAATCACCTCACACAATTTAATGGGCATGTTTGTAGGACCAAGTTCTGCACATGAGACAGGGTTAGGTGCTATGAGTGCAAAAAGGAGTAAAACAAAACATCTTTCCTTAAAAAGCTTAGAGCCGGCTAGACATAGTGGCTCATGCCTGTAATCCCAGCACTTTGGGAGGCCAGGGAGGGTGGATCACCTGAGGTAAGGAGTTTGAGACCAGCCTGGGCAACATGGTGAAACGGCATCTCTAACAAAAGTACTACAAAATTAGGGGAGCATGGTGGTGGGCGCCTGTAATCCCAACTGCTGGAGAGGCTGCAGCAGGAGAATCGCTTGAACCCAGAGGCAGAGGTTGCTGTGAGCCAAGATCATGACTGCACTCCAGCCTGTGTGACACAGCAAGGCTCCATCAAAAAAAAACAAAAACAAACAAACAAAAAAAACAACTTACAGCCTGCATGCTAGGGCAAAAACTGTTCTGCTTTATTCGGTTCCATAATTTTATTTTCCTTCAAAAGCAGATATTTGGCTACGTACAGAACTCAACACAAAAGCTCAAGAAAAATTACTTACCTGACATAGCTCTTAGTAGCCTGTTGTCACTCAGTTAGGGGGTGAATGGAAGTGAAATAAATTTGGTTGCATTGAATGTACACATTTGTAGAAGTATTTGTATCAGAGAAACCAGGTATATTCTCAAAAGGTTACAATTTTTAATTTCCAATATTATGGAGGATAAAATCAATGAGTAATGGAAAACTCTATCTTTCCATTTAATCATTAGTTATATCAAAGCTTCTATCCACGTTTGTAATTGAAGGATGATGACACTTCCTTATCCTCACAATTTAGCTTGAGCTTTTGCATGCTAGAAATGAAAAGAGTGGTTTGCCTTGTAACATAATCTTCACTGCCTTAAAAATAAAACCATCACTAAGAAACAATATGTGTATGTTTCACTCTGAATATGTTATTAAGGGAGTTGAAAATGTGTATTCTGTTGCTCTCAACTTACACAATATTGGCTAAGACATGGACCGTGGGCTTAAATGCCTGGGTCCGTATCCTGGCATTTTCACTTACTAGCTGTGTTGCCTTTAGCCAGTTACTTATCCTCTGTCTGTCTCAGTTTCCTCATTATCAAAATAGTGACAACAATAGTAGCTATCTCCCCAGACTGCTGTGGGGATTAAAGGACTTGGTACATATAAATACTTAGAAAAAAATCAAATAAAGCTATGATTATTATATTTTATATGATATTACTTAATGTCTGGAAAGAAGACATCATCTAGCAAAATAGTTGTCTCATTCACACTCAGTATCATTAAGTAACCTCAGAAGGAAAACCTTGACACAGGAAGTTATCGCCCGTATTTATTGTAAAATGGCTAGCCACAAATACATCTTAACTCTCAACATTTTGTAAATGAAGAGAACAACTAAATATCCACAAATCAATTTTTTCTTTTGACATAAATGAATTACTTGAAAGGGTAAAGCAAAAGAAAACAGAGTCCCAAATTATTTCCATGTAGTAGGTGTGATACTGTGAATTGATGTAGGAGGTGGTATTGGGTCTTTGCTTTCTTAGTAAAGCAATGTCAAGTAGTAATTTATACTGAAAAACCACAACATAGAGTAAGTCAATCCTAGGATTTTGTTCTAGATAGAGTTGCGATTTTATAGATCAGCATCATTGTGATATTTATTTACAGAATCTCACTCTGTCACCCAGGCTGGAGTGCAGTGGCGTGTTCTTGGCTCAGGAGCAATCTCTGCCTCCCAGGTTCAAGTGATTCTCCTGCCTCAGTCTCCCAAGTAGCTGGGATTACAGGTGTGCACCAGCACATCCGGCTAATTTGTGTATTTTTAGTAGAGTCGGGGTTTCACCATCTTGTCCAGGCTAGTCTCAAATTCTAGCCCATCTTGGCCTCCCAAAGTGCTGCATGCCCAGCTTATTGTGATATTTATAGGTGTATTATATATTTATTTAAAATGTGTTAATATTTGTGTTAGATATTTAGATACGGAGCTTGGGTAGGTGTTATAAGGTTTCCATTGGAATGTGAAAGAACATATAAATATTGGAATAATTGTTTTCTTGTTTTATTTTTGACCAGGATCAATTACGAGGACTATTGAAGTGAATATTTTCAAAAGATATTAACTTTATTACATTTTATAAGCATATGTAGAATGTAATCCTTTCCTTAGTTTAAATGAAACAAGCCCCAGCCTGATTAAATCACCTGGCAGAGGTCATCTAGATAGCCAGAGACGGAGTTGAGACTCATATTTTCACCACCTGTTTGTAAGTCTTGGCTTCTTTCCCCTTCACTCTGCTAAAAGTCAGAAAGAATACAACTACTGAAAAATGGTGTATAGTGGAATTAGATGACTACTAAGGTCTTTCATTCCTGGGCGTCTAGGAAATTCAGTAGACAATTAGCAATAATAGTTTCTGATTTTATCAGAAGGAAGATACCCTCAAGTCAGCATCCAACCATACGTTTAACCTTGATCTATTAAATTCAAAATATATCAGTAGCAGTTGGAAGCAATCCAAAGATGACTGAGTAAAGGTTTTGTTCTCAGAGATTTGCAATGATATAGCAAGCCAATGCCCTTCTTTCCAGGTGCAATGATTTTCGCCACATTCTGAGTTGCTAAGCCCTTTCCTTCTAGCCCTCTTCTCTTTCCCTTCAACCCCTCTTTTATGCTGCAATTATTTTTCTCTCCAATTACACTGCATTCTCATGAAGCTTTCTTTCTTCTGTTTGGAATAACAAAAATAAACGCTAGAGTCGGCTTGCTTTCATGATTGACTGCTAAGGTAGTGAAACAAACTGAATGTCCAAAGGAATTGTGTATTATTGTATATTTGGTGGCACATGCAGAATAATTCCTTCAGATATTTTAAAAAGGGGAGCATTTAAAATGTACTGTTAGAAAACCATTACCTCTTTCTGGTCTTTTAAATTTTTCCTGGGTTTTCTTTCCCTAGGGACCTAGAAGCTTCTCCATGTTTCCTCTTAGAAGATCTTGAAAAATTATTTTAAATCTTCTGTTTCTTCCTTAAACCTTTTAAACATTATTTTCATGTTGATATACGGTTAATACATGTGTTTTTATTGTCCCCCCAGCAGACTTATGTATGTAGTTGAAACCACCTGTACTACTGGAACGAAGCACCTTTACAGAAGAGGCAATGCAAGTTGTATTAATCACATGCATAGAATGAATTAAGATTTATGCCAGCTGCAAAGAAGAATGTTGGTTCACTATTTTTCCTCTGGGCATGTGAGTATTTTATACTATATAAATTATATATATATGTGTGTGTGTGTGTGTGTGTAGATAGATAGATAGATAGATAGATAGATAGATAGATAGAAAGAAAATACATAAAATATAATTCCTTACCCTCTGGGTAAGGAAGAACAGTGAGGAGGATGATAGAAATCAAATAAGCTCCTTTGGCCTCTCTGTGTCTTCCTGTGTCCAGACCTCTAGGGTTCTCTTCCATACATCCAAGCAAAAGTGTTTTCCCTAATGCAGACTGCCTGGTGTATGGTTGAGAGTAAAAATGCCTCTGAAGGAGGCACTGTAGTTGTTTGCAGGGTATTATTATATTATGTATGTTATATTATTCTAGACTCTCCCTCTAACTTTCTGAGGTTAAAACTTGAAATAACCGCCTTGATTTGAGGTATTCTCATCTGCTGAATGGAGGGAATATTACTATTTCTTTGCTTATAGGCTTATTGTGAGAACTAATATGAAGTAGAATGAGAACACTTGGAAATGAATAAAGAATACACAGATTTAGAGTGTTAGCAACACTATTTCTTGTAATGATATATTCTGAATCCCCTCATCTCAGATTTATAATAACCTTAGTTCTTCATATGTCCCCAAAAGAGGTATGGCAGACACTTCCAAGTTTTAAATTGAAGTGATTCACTAAAATTTTTGAATTATTAATTATAATAATCATATACTGTTCATCTCTCCATCTCTTTAAGTGCTTATCACAGCACCTGGCACATAGTAGGCACTGAACATATATTGGTTAAATTTAATAAACAAATTTCTAATTGCAAAAGTGATTTCAATATGGAGTAAAAGACCACTACAACAGAAAACCGAATCAATTACTAGTTGTGATGTATTTTCAGGTCAAATTTGAATACATTTGAAAACATTTTTGACTCCCCATAAAAATAGAATTGTGATCAATTATTTCCTAGGCAAACTACACTCCAAAAAAGTCCAAAAATGTTGTTAAGGTACATGAAACAATCCTCTCTGCATTGAAAGGCTTCAGACTTCTTTGCTCATTTAGTTTGTTTTTGACCGTTTTCCGAAGCATGCCTTCTGCTTTCAAGAAAATAACCACCATTTGTCATTATGGAAATTCTGTCTTTCCCTTATAACTATCTCTAATATCCAACTCACTTTTTTTGTATACTATGTTAAACAGATAATCAAGATTATAAATTCAGTGTGGTTCTTAGAAGGATGTACTTTATCTCTGAGGGAGGTTCTTAGAAGGATGTACTTTATCTCTATGAGGTTCCTTTGGGTACCTGGATTTTGTGACATCCTTTTGCTTGACTATAAATGTTTAAGGCCTATCCTACTCTTAAGCTGACTACCCCTGGAAGTAACATAATAAGTAACCTTGGGATAAATTTATTATTATTATATATGTTCTGATCAGCTATGAATTCAGTTCTTGGTCATCTACATATATATTAGATGTGTGTAAAATAAACAATTATGTTTCTAAATCTGTTATAGTATTCAAAGCTAAAAATAATATATTTTCTAACAATATTGTAATTTTATGTTTTGTTAGGAGTTTTCATCCAATATTGACTGAAAAGATCAATAGACTATCTCAGCATGTTATGCTGTGCATTTATTTTACTGTTGCCACTGATGCAATAAAATTAAATTACAGTACTTCATCAGCCCATACTATCCTGTACTTAATTTACTTACAGTGTCATTTCCAACAATGTCTGATAGATCCTGTGAAAATAAAGAAAATTCCCTATCGAATGAGAGAAGTGGGAGTCAGTGGGAAACAGAAGGAATAAGATGTTGTGCAGTATGAAGGAGAAATACGTGGTCTCAGTTCAGTGTGGTGGCAGGGTGCATGTCTGTTTCAACCACCTTCGTCGTCCTACTTCAATTTTGTATTTGATACCCAATGTCATTGATATCAGCATTCTTGAAATTCCCAATAAAAACATTATTGTCACTATCAAAATTAAATTGTAATTCAAATAATGCAGGATGTCTTTGCAAGAGCTTCTCAAAATATAAAGGATATTACCTGCTTTGGAAATTATGTCTGGAACCTAATGTTTTCCCCTTTGTGAGCAGTAATTTATTGGAACAGAACAGTGCAGGATATATTGGTGCAGATTTATTCATTAATTGATTCATGCATCAGACTACTAATTCAACAAATATTCATTTAATGTTTTTTATTTACCTTATGATGTGTTTGGTCTTGGAGATAAACTCAATCTTGTAGCCAGAAAAGTGGCACTATCAATTATAAGACAATAGCAGTAGATAATGAATTTAATAGAGGAAAATGCATTGTTGTCTGCCTAAGAGGGTCAATATGATAAAGTATGTGTTGATTGGCTAAGTTTTTAAGAAAGGATAGGAATATCCCAGCAGGAAGAAAAGTGGGAAAGTGTATTCTAGAGAGAGGAAACTGGATGTACAAAAATCATGTAGGTGTGAGAAAAAGAGAGATACACTGGGAACTCTAAGTATTAACACTTAGGTATTGTTGGAGCCTGGCACATAGTAATTGTCAATAAAATATCACATTGTTGTTTTTGTCATGCAGTGCAAGGGGGTGGAAAGCAAGAAAAATGCCTAAGCAGGTGCAGTATCAGCCCTTTTATTAATGGGATTGCTTCCCATATTAAAGGATGACTGAAGTTATTCCTTTTTATTTCATGTTAAGGCCATGATAAAGTCAAGGTGACTTGAAAAAGCTATTTAATTCAAGTTTAGTTTTTACAAAAAAAAAAAATACATAGAATTAGATTCATATGCATTCTCCTTCTCCTCTTCCTCCGTCCTCCCTTTTTTTCTTTTCAGTATTTGGATACAACCCCCATCTCTGACTTTGACCTGATACATTTAGAAAGAGCTCAGATGTGTTTGCGAAATTCTAAGATAACATGTCAGCTTTATATGGGAGTGTTCAGGACAAGGCAGAGAATCTGTTTTTTTATAGTATAAATTAACAGACTAATTGCCCCAACAAATTTCCAAATTATTTCTTTTCGTGCCTTTTACTTAATACCTTAAATTTTACTCTAGTGTCCTAAGTTCCCAAATACCACTCTCTGGCTCCACTCCAATCTTATCTGGGTTCTCTCTCACCAATTTCTCAGGCTTATTGGTCTGTAATCATTAGTCTCTTTCTTTCTGCTCTTTGTCAATGCCTTGCAAACTTCCACTCTCTGCCCTCCACTGCCCCAAGGGCCCAAGAACTTGGGCAGACTTGCAGTTACACCACACCAACTTCTGCCTCTAATCCTGTCCCCATCCAGCTTTGGTACTAGAGTCCATTATTTTGATAATTCTCTTGCCAGTCACCTCAGTGCACTTCTTCTCTCACCTTTCCATCACACCAGATCTCAAAAACATTAGTCCTGGTTAATGCTACCTTTTCCCACTCTTTGTTAGGGTTTTAGAACCACTGGAAAAAAAGACACATGTATGATGATTTGTGTCATTATCGATATGGACAGAATACAGAGAAATACTGGGTAGAAGAGGATGGTTCCCCGGCAAAGGGCCCACCCTCAAGCCTGAAGACCTGTGGCCCTAAATGAGGATAGGCATTCCTGTTTTCATGCCCCAAAACTTGTCTTTTGGCCCACGATGTACCCCCATCCTGCTCCCATGTAAACCTAAGACCTTAGTGGACACACACACAAGTGGCTGAATTGAGATCAGCACACCAGTGGACCAACAGACCAGCAGACCAGCAACAGCAGAATAACGCAGCAGAGAAAGAGAGGAGGAAGGACATCTGGATACTGAGAGAAGTTTGTCCTGGGGTGGTTGAGGAAGAGTTTGGCAGCTGAGTGGCCTGACTCTGATCACCTTCCCACTCCATCCCCTCTTCTGGTTCCCCATCTATCTCACTGAGAGCCACCTCCACCACTCAGTGAAACATTGCAGTCATCCTTCAAGCCTGTGTGTGATCCGATTCTTTCAGGACACTGGGTAAGAGCTCAGAATACAGAAGGCTGTCACACTAGCCCTCTGCCCTTGTGATAAGATAGTGTCCATTGAGCTGATTAACACACAAGCCAACTGCAGATGGCAAATATGAAAGAGCTTCATAAGACACACCCACTTGAGGTTTGGGAGTTGCACCCACCACTAGACACTGCCATGGGGCAGGAGCCTAAAAGATCTCACACCTGCCTCTGCACCTGCATTTCTGCATGCTCCCCGTAGGCGTTTGAGTTGTGGGGTCATCAAGCAGGCGAGCCACACCCCTGTTGCACGTCCTGTGAGCGGAATCAGGGAACTCTCCCATTTCATTATAAATTCAAGTTATGGAAACTAAGCTAGAAGCTTCTATGTTTCAGATTTTTAAAAACTCTTCATGTGATTTCTCCCCTCCTTTTTCCTCTTCTTTTGTAAATAAATAGAAGATTTCATTTAGTCATCTATGTTTACTATTGAAACTCTGGGAGTTAAAATAAATAATATCCTTGTCCTGTGAACTTTTTATATGTGACCAGGAAAAAAAAAATGGCTCTCTCTTCTACATTGTTCTGTTCTGCTTCATTTACAGGTATCTACAGAAGCCAACTGCTATGTGGTTTCATGTAGATTCTCTTACCCATACTTTCACTTGATAGGGGAACTCAAGTCTCCAAGAATTGCATAATGAAACACTCTTGCTTTTTTTCTTATGGCTTTCTGTTAGATAGAATTCTTCACCGAGCAAAAATGACAACATGCTTGACACTCAACTATTCTCTATTTCACATACTAGCGGTACGAGCTGGACTCGGATATTCTGAAAATATTTCAGGTGAGGAGTGGAAACAAGGATTATGACATTTTTCTGACCATTGTCAACTTCAATTTCTTGGCTGCTGAGACATTTAGCTCTCTAAAGCTAAACTTTGGAATTTATTTTCAAGTCCAAGAGAATCTAAGTAATTTGCGACTCAACTCATCTGGCTTTTTGCCAAGGCTTAAAAATCACAGTCCTTGAATTAAATGTGAACTGTCCT